TTCTGGTCCTGGTTCTGGTTCAGTTTCAGGTCCTGGTTCTGGCTCAGGTTCTGGTTCTGGTTCTGGTCCTTGTTCTGGTCCAGTTTCAGGTCCTGGTTCTGGCTCTGGTTCTGGCTCTGGTTCTGGTCCTGGTTCTGGTTCAGTTTCAGGTTCTGGTTCTGGCTCTGGTTCTGGTCCTGTTCCTTGTTCTGGTTCTGGTTCAGTTTCAGGTCCTGGTTCTGGCTTAGGTTCTGGTTCTGGTTCTGGTCCTGGTCCTCGTTCTGGTTCAGTTTCAGGTTCTGGTTCTGGCTCAGGCTCAGGTTCTGGTTCAGTTTCAGGTCCTGGTTCTGGTTCTGGTCCTGGTTCTGGTTCAGTTTCAGGTCCTGGTTCTGGCTCAGGTTCTGGTTCTGGTTCTGGATCTGGTCCTCGTTCTGGTTCTTCTTCAGTTTCAGGTTCTGGTTCTGGCTTAGGTTCTGGTTCTGGTCCTGGTTCTGGTTCAGTTTCAGATCCTGGTTCTGGCTCTGGTTCTGGTCCTGGTTCTGGTCCTCTTTCTGGTTCAGTTTCAGGTCCTGGTTCTGGCTCAGGTTCTGATTCTGGTCCTTGTTCTGGTTCTGGTTCAGTTTCAGGTCCTGGTTCTGGCTCTGGTTGTGGTCCTGGTTCTGGTTCAGTTTCAGGTCCTGGTTCTGGCTCAGTTTCTGGTTCTGGTTCTGGTCCTTGTTCTGGTCCAGTTTTAGGTCCTGGTTCTGGCTCAGGTTCTGGTTCTGGTTCTGGTCCTTGTTCTGGTCCAGTTTCAGGTCCTGGTTCTGGCTCTGGTTCTGGTCCTGGTTCTGGTCCAGTTTCAGGTCCTGGTTCTGGTTCTGGCTCTGGTTCTGGTCCTGGTTCTGGTTCTGGTTCAGTTTCAGGTTCTGGTTCTGGCTCTGGTTCTGGTCCTGTTCCTTGTTCTGGTTCTGGTTCAGTTTCAGTTCCTGGTTCTGGCTTAGGTTCTGGTTCTGGTTCTGGTCCTGGTCCTCTTTCTGGTTCAGGTTCTGGTTCTGGCTCAGGCTCAGGTTCTGGTTCTGGATCAGTTTCAGGTCCTGGTTCTGGCTTAGGTTCTGGTTCTGGTCCTGGTCCTGGTTCTGGTTCAGTTTCAGGTCCTGGTTCTGGCTCAGGTTCTGGTTCTGGTTCTGGATCTGGTCCTCGTTCTGGTTCTTGTTCAGTTTCAGGTTCTGGTTCTGGCTTAGGTTCTGGTTCTGGTCCTGGTCCTGGTCCTGGTTCTGGTTCAGTTTCAGGTCCTGGTTCTGGTTCAGTTTCAGGTCCAGATTCTGGCTCAGGTTCTTGTTCTGGATCTGGTCCTCGTTCTGGTTCTGGTTATGTTTCAGGTCCTGGTTCTGGCTCAGGTTCTGGTTCTGGTTCAGTTTCAGGTCCTGGTTCTGGCTCTGGCTCAGGTTCTGGTCCTGGTTCTGGTTCTGGTTCAGTTTCAGGCCCTGGTTCTGGGTCAGGTTCTGGTTCTGGTTCTGGTTCAGTTTCATGTCTTGGTTCTAACTCTGGTTCTGGTCCTGGTTCTGGCTCTGGTTCTGGTCCTGGTTCTGGCTCTGGTTCTGGCTCAGGTTCTGGTTCTGGTTCTGGTTCAGTTTCATGTCCTGGTTCTAACTCTGGTTCTGGTCCTGGTTCTGGTTCAGTTTCAGGTCCTGGTTCTGGCTCAGGTTCTGGTCCTGGTCCTGGTTCTGGTTCAGTTTCATGTCCTGGACCTGGTCCTGGATCTTGACCTGTTCTTCGTTCTGGTTCAGTTTCAGGTCCTGGTTCTGGCTCAGGTTCTGGTCCTGGTCCTGGTTCTGGTTCTGGTTCAGTTTCAGGTCCTGGTTCTGGCTCAGGTTCTGGTCCTGGTCCTGGACCTGGTTCTGGTTCAGTTTCAGGTCCTGGTTCTGGCTCAGGTTCTGGTCCTGGTGCTGGACCTGGTTCAGGTTCAGTTTCAGATCCTGGTTCTGGTTCTGATTCAGTTTCAGGTTCTGGTCCTGGCTCAGGTTCTGGTTCTGGTCCTCCTTCTGGCTCTGTCTCAGGTTCTGGTCCTGGTTCTGGTTCTGGTTCAGTTTCAGGTCCTGGTTCTGGCTCAGGTCCTGGTTCTGGCTCGGGTCTGGTCCTGGTACTGGACCTGGTTCAGTTTCAGGTCCTGGTTCTGGCTCAGGTTCTGGTCCTGGTCCTGGACCTGGTTCTGGTTCAGTTTCAGGTCCTGGTTCTGGTCCTGATTCAGTTTCAGGTTCTGGTCCTGGACCTGGTTCAGTTTCAGGTCCTGGTTCTGGCTCAGGTTCTAGCTCTGGCTTTGGTTCTGGTTCAGGTTCAGTTTCAGATCCTGGTTCTGGTTCTGATTCAGTTTCAGGTTCTGGTCCTGGCTTAGGTCCTGGTTCTGGTCCTGGTTCTGGCTCTGGCTCAGGTTCTGGTCCTGGTTCTGGTTCTGGTTCAGTTTCAGGTCCTGGTTCTGGCTCAGGTCCTGGTTCTGGTTCTGGCTCTGGCTCGGGTCTGGTCCTGGTACTGGACCTGGTTCAGTTTCAGGTCCTGGTTCTGGCTCAGGTTCTAGCTCTGGCTTTGGTTCTGGTTCAGGTTCAGTTTCAGGTCCTGGTTCTGGTCCTGGTTCTGGCTCAGGTTCTGGTCCTGGTTCTGGTTCTGGTTCTGGTTCAGTTTCAGGTCCTGGTTCTGGCTCTGGCTTGGGTCTGGTCCTGGTACTGGACCTGGTTCAGTTTCAGGTCCTGGTTCTGCCTCAGGTTCTGGTCCTGGACCTGGTTCTGGTTCAGTTTCATGTCCTGGACCTGGTCCTGGATCTGGTTCTGGTTCAGTTTCATGTCCTGGACCTGGTCCTGGATCTGGACCTGTTCCTCGTTCTGGTTCAGTTTCAGGTCCTGGTTCTGGTCCTGATTCAGTTTCAGGTTCTGGTCCTGGACCTGGTTCAGTTTCAGGTCCTGGTTCTGGCTCAGGTTCTGGTCCTGGTCCTGGTTCTGGTTCAGTTTCATGTCCTGGACCTGGTCCTGGATCTTGAGCTGTTCCTCGTTCTGGTTCAGTTTCAGGTCCTGGTTCTGGCTCAGGTTCTGGTCCTGGTTCCTGGCCCTGGTTCTGGTTCAGTTTCAGGTCCTGGATCTGGTCCTGATTCAGTTTCAGGTTCTGGTCCTGGACCTGGTTCAGTTTCAGGTCCTGGTTCTGGCTCAGGTTCTAGCTCTGGCTTTGGTTCTGGTTCAGGTTCAGTTTCAGTTTCAGATCCTGGTTCTGGTTCTGATTCAGTTTCAGGTTCTGGTCCTGGCTTAGATCCTGCTTCTGGTCCTGGTTCTGGCTCTGTCTCAAGTTCTGGTCCTGGTTCTGGTTCTGGTTCAGTTTCAGGTCCTGGTTCTGGCTCAGGTCCTGGTTCTGGCTCTGGCTCGGGTCTGGTCCTGGTACTGGACCTGGTTCAGTTTCAGGTCCTGGTTCTGGCTCAGGTTCTGGTCCTGGTCCTGGTTCTGGTTCAGTTTCAGGTCCTGGTTCTGGCTCAGGTTCTGTTCCTTGTCCTGGACCTGGTTCCGGTTCAGTTTCAGATCCTGGTTCTGGTTCTGATTCAGTTTCAGGTTCTGGTCCTGGCTTAGGTCCTGGCTCTGGTCCTGGCTCAGGTTCTAGCTCTGGCTTTGGTTCTGGTTCAGGTTCAGTTTCAGATCCTGGTTCTGGTTCTGATTCAGTTTCAGGTTCTGGTCCTGGCTTAGGTCCTGCTTCTGGTCCTGGTTCTGGCTCTGGCTCAGGTTCTGGTCCTGGTTCTGGTTCTGGTTCAGTTTCATGTCCTGGTTCTGGCTCAGGTTCTGGTCCTGGACCTGGTTCTGGTTCAGTTTCGTGTCCTGGACCTGGTCCTGGACCTGGTTCTGGTTCAGTTTCATGTCCGGGACCTGGTCCTGGATCTGGACCTGTTCCTCGTTCTGGTTCAGTTTCAGGTCCTGGTTCTGGTCCTGATTCAGTTTCAGGTTCTGGTCCTGGACCTGGTTCAGTTTCAGGTCCTGGTTCTGGCTCAGGTTCTGGTCCTGGTCCTGGTTCTGGTTCAGTTTCATGTCCTGGACCTGGTCCTGGATCTTGACCTGTTCTTCGTTCTGGTTCAGTTTCAGGTCCTGGTTCTGGCTCAGGTTCTGGTCCTGGTCCTGGTTCTGGTTCTGGTTCAGTTCAGGTCCTGGTTCTGGCTCAGGTCCTGGTTTTGGCTCTGGCTCGGGTCTGGTCCTGGTACTGGACCTGGTTCAGTTTCAGGTCCTGGTTCTGGCTCAGGTTCTGGTCCTGGTCCTGGACCTGGTTCTGGTTCAGTTTCAGGTCCTGGTTCTGGCTCAGGTTCTGGTCCTGGTCCTGGACCTGGTTCAGGTTCAGTTTCAGATCCTGGTTCTGGTTCTGATTCAGTTTCAGGTTCTGGTCCTGGCTCAGGTTCTGGTTCTGGTCCTCCTTCTGGCTCTGTCTCAGGTTCTGGTCCTGGTTCTGGTTCTGGTTCAGTTTCAGGTCCTGGTTCTGGCTCAGGTCCTGGTTCTGGCTCGGGTCTGGTCCTGGTACTGGACCTGGTTCAGTTTCAGGTCCTGGTTCTGGCTCAGGTTCTGGTCCTGGTCCTGGACCTGGTTCTGGTTCAGTTTCAGGTCCTGGTTCTGGTCCTGATTCAGTTTCAGGTTCTGGTCCTGGACCTGGTTCAGTTTCAGGTCCTGGTTCTGGCTCAGGTTCTAGCTCTGGCTTTGGTTCTGGTTCAGGTTCAGTTTCAGATCCTGGTTCTGGTTCTGATTCAGTTTCAGGTTCTGGTCCTGGCTTAGGTCCTGGTTCTGGTCCTGGTTCTGGTTCTGGCTCAGGTTCTGGTCCTGATTCTGGTTCTGGTTCAGTTTCAGGTCCTGGTTCTGGCTCAGGTCCTGGTTCTGGCTCTGGCTCGGGTCTGGTCCTGGTACTGGACCTGGTTCAGTTTCAGGTCCTGGTTCTGGCTCAGGTTCTAGCTCTGGCTTTGGTTCTGGTTCAGGTTCAGTTTCAGATCCTGGTTCTGGTTCTGATTCAGTTTCAGGTTCTGGTCCTGGCTTAGGTCCTGGTTCTGGCTCAGGTTCTGGTCCTGGTCCTGGTTCTGGTTCTGGTTCACGCTAACTTAGCTAGCCCCAGAAGCTCGGTGGCCTGGCTCCTGTACGAGGCTGTGGTCATGCTGGCCACCTGTGGAGGTCTAATGTGGACCGGGACTGTTAAATTACGGGCAGAGCCTCAGACCGCTGCTCCCCGTTCAACCAGCAAACTAACCCTAACCCTAACCAGCGTCAACTACAAGAGCTGCGATCTTTCTGTGGTCTCCCTCAGACATCCACTAGTGACCAGGATGACCAGAGCCTCACATCGGAGTCGGTCCCACGTCAAACCGGAACAACCAGCTGTAACCTAGATCTGCTCTCTTCTGGTGCGAGCCCCTAGTGAGTGAGGCTAGGTTAGCCACACCTGTGTTGGCTTGATTTTCATCCCAGAACTACGAGGCCCGGTAAAAACACGAGCGCAGTAGGCTAACGCCCTAAAGCCGTACCCTTCGGCACTCAAACATGAATAAAATGTCATAAAATTAAAACGGCATAAAAGATGCAGAAACGTGCATCCGAGACAAGATGCTGAGGAGATCTTCCACCGGTGAGATTTAAGGGCGTTGGTCTACATCCCAGCCCAGGTCCCAGGCCCATGTCAGCGCGGCTGTAGAGCGAGTTCTGATGGCGTGCATCTTCTGCTTTAGGGAACACGCCCTTCACATACGGAGAAAACCTGGAGAACCTGGCTTCCATGAAGGAAATCATAGCTCCAGGATGGAAGCTTCTGTGCCTCGAGCGTATACGGACATTTCTGTCTTACCACGGATGGACTGGACGGGCAACCCTCAGACACCTTTGGACCACGGACGGCGGACTGACTGGTGGGAGGGGTAGGCTAGGGGTTAAATATGAGGCGGTTGTAACTCCACATGTTCCCAATAAATAACAGAAGAACAAGCAGGAGCGTGTTTCTGGAATCAAAACCGGTTTTCCCTTCTGGAGGCGGAGTCTGTGCTGAGGCAGGTAGCAGACCTGCAGCTGTCCTGGGGTCATGTCTTTATCCCGTCCAATCAGCTCGAGTCTGTCCTCCACTGATCCTCTTCCTCACCACCTGTTGCGTCTTAGAGCCAATCTGCAGACTCGTGCTGAGACCTGGACCTGGATGCCTGGGTCAGCTCTGGAGTCTCACAACCAGTTCTTCAGAACCTGTTTGTGGCTCAGCTGCAGGAGGTGAGCAGAATGTCAGTCAGAGCCCTGCCCCTGGTCTTCATCAACATGGGAGGAGAGATGCTTTATGTTTTGGATCAGCGGCTGCGAGCTCTCAACACGTCTGAGGAGCAGTCAGAGCGAGGTAGAGATGTCTGGAGGTCTGCTCCAGCACTTGGTTCTGGTTTCTGTTGAACTTCCTCAGAGCTAAATCCGTTTTCTTTGGTTCCATCGACTCGTCCGTGGGCTGCAGGAGTGTGGTCGGAGCAGGACAGACGAAGAGGTACCGCTTCTTGGTGTTTCTGTAGAGAACGTGGAGGTTGGGAGTGAAACCAGTTTAATTCCACTTCCTGTTTCTGTTTCCTGCTTGAACTCAGTGATCAGCGACATAATTGGAACCTTGTTCAGTAAATCCTTCATGGATGAGCTTCTCAAACCTCAGCCACTTTACTCTCACAGGACGATGAAAAGCGTGCTAACGCGGCTAGCACACACCTCCATCATGAGGCTGAACCTGGCCAGCATGGACCGGGTACGGTTTCTGATCAGTCTAGAACCCACCAGTCCTCTGCCTCAGGTCCTGGAGGACTTGGTTTGACGATGCTCTTCTCCTCCTGCAGCTTTATGAACTGATGCTCATGGCTTTCAAACATCAGGTTCTCCTCTGTCCTCGACCCAGAGACCTGCTGCTGGTCTCCTACAACCACATGGACTCCATGAGATACATGGTCCGGGACACGCCGGTGCTCCTGAACCAGGTGGACGAGACTCACAGGAAACTCGCTGAGGTAGATCTGCTTGTTCCAGACTTCTTGTGTTTCAGGTGTAAATTCCTCTCAGCTCGGTTTTCCGTACTTCCATGTAGGTTTACTCAGACCTATCAGAGGGAGACTTCCAGCTCCTCAGACAAACGCTGCTCATGTTCTTCCAAGACTCGCACATCCGCGTGAGTTCTTCTGAGTTCTCTAGTCCTCTAGAGGTGCCCCAGGTCCCACAGGGTTCTCACGAGTGCCCAGCAGTCCTCCCTGAGGACTCCCTGGTCCTGGAATACCGCTATCCAGCATGTCTCCAACCCTCTGTTCAGCAGGTCACCAAGCTCTGCAGAAACCTGCCATCACCTGCTGGTTAGCATCAGGTGCGCTGGAACAGAGGAAAGCCTACAGCATGCTGGATGGTGGCACTCAAGGACCAGGACAGCCTCACCGAGTCCTCCAGGGTCGTCCTGGTTTCATCACAACTTTCTTTTGATTGCAGGTGTCTCTTTTGCTGAAGGCCCAGATTCAGAAATCCAGCGGTCGTTTTCTTCTGACGGCCTCTGGTCCGGTTCCTGTTGGGACCAGAGTCCCAGGACTCATCCGGTACGCCTGTGTGTGTGTGTGTGTGTGTGTGTGTGTGTGTGTGTGTGTGTGTGTGTGTGTGTGTGTGTGTGTGTGTGTGTGTGTGTGTGTGTGTGTGTGTGTGTGTGTGTGTGTGTGTGTGTGTGTGTGTGTGTGTGCGCGTGCGTGCGTGCGTGCGTGTGTGTGTGTGTGTGTGTGCTACGTAGCTAAAACATGCTGAAGGACACCATCCCAGGGTAATCTCTGGACAAACACCAACAGCTCTTCTCCTTCCTCTGGCTGAAGATGGGCGGGGACTTCATGGTTCATCAGCAGAAGGAGGCGGAGCCATGGTGGCCATTATTACAGTTTATAACCACAACATTCTGTCTATGGTTTGTTGTTCTTTAGGATGTTTGACCCCAAAGGCAGAGAGGTGAGTCGGTCTGAGTATCCCTCTGGAGGAAGTTACAGCGGTGCTGTTAGAGAGGGGTCGCTGGAGCTGAACGGAGACCGAGTCCTCAAGCTGGGTCTGAACATGTAGGTTCTGAGTAGTCCGTTTTATCCAGCAAGTCCAGCAGGTTCTGATTGTGTTTCCTGTTCCATAAGGTACACCATGGAACATCCAGAGGACACTCACACTTCAAACACACCTGGTCATCAGGTAACACTAGAGACTAGAGATAGTCCTGATCCAGTCCTCGTCTCTTCCTGTAGTCCATTCCAGCTGCGAGAACTTTGGTAAGGGGTTCTGATCCACGCTTCTACAGACCTTCTGAAGAAACAGAACCTTTAAAGACCAAGTTCACTCTTGTTTGCTACACTTCTGCAGTGTCTCCAGTACAAATGAATCCTTTTAAGTGGATCTTTGAAGGACAAAAGCTCTGGTGATCCTGTTGGAGAACCAGAGGACAGCTGAGCAGAACACGGCAGGATCTGGAATCCTATTTCCTGATATGTGGACATCTCTCCTCTGATTGGCCAACAGCAACACGACTCTACCGCTGACTCTGTCTGCTCTGCAACGCTGATGTTTTGTCTCCACCAATAACACAAGTCTGGGGAAGTTCTGCTGTGTGGTGGAGTTGCTAATGCTAATGGTTAGCTTCTACTAGCTGAGATGTTCTCTGCTGTTTCCTGGACTAAACCAACAGCAGCTTCCCCATCGTGAGCCCAGATGGGTGAGTGCATGAATGTTAGTGACAGGGTGACGTAGATCTGTCAGGATTTTCTAATCCTAGAGTTTCACCGTCTGTTTTCTATCAGAAGCTACTGCAGGAGATAGGTGTAGGAGACTATCTTCATGTTCAGCCTGCATGAAACACTTGGATATATTTCAAAGAGAACAAGTAAAAACCTGCTTCTGAGTGACCCTGGCCTGCAAAGGTCTCCAGGTTTGGTATTAAACCTCTACAGAAACAGCTGGGATGCAGGTGAAACAGGAAGTGAGCTATTATGAATCGTTTGTCGCCTTGGTCAACATCATTTCCTCTTGCAGTCTGACAACTCCCCCAACCCACTGGCCAAGGAGGAGCTGAACCTGCTGGCCCATCTCATGGGCAGCATGATGCTTGAGCATGTTCCCAAAGGAGATCCCGGCTTTTGCATCAGCTTTTTCTCTCCAGAACCAGAGGAGGAGGAGTTAGTGGCTTTCTTTTCTTCTTCCAGTTTTTACAGTTAAAATAATAACACTTGGATCTGTTCTCCTGCTTCCCAGAGGAGCTCCAGGTGGAACGCAGGAGTTCAGAGTCATCAACATCCAGGCTGTTCAGGTAGGAAGGGGCAGCATCAAACAGACCACTGAAGCTGCTTGAGGGTCAAAGGGAAGTGCAGGCTTCCTCTATGGCTTGTAAAAACATTTGCATTTAATGTAATTATCTAAGAAATGTTCGCCCACCTGAGAAATAAAGGTGTTTATCACGTGGAACGCTCTGGATCAGGTCCGAGTAGCAACGCTCAGGTGGACTACGACAATAGAAACACTGTCTGGGAACAATGTTGTCAACATAGCTTCTGCTTCAGGGAGAATTCTGTCAGCTGGGAGCTCACCATGGCCCAGGAGCCCTGATACATGATGTTCTCCTCATGCACGTGTGGAGTTAGCATGTTCTCCTCCAGCGCGTTCTCCTCATGCACGTGTGGAGTTAGCATGTTCTCCTCCAGCGCGTTCTCCTCATGCACGTGTGCAGTTAGCGTGTTCTCCTCCAACGTGTTCTCCTCATGCACGTGTGGAGTTAGCATGTTCTCCTCCAGCGCGTTCTCCTCATGCATGTGTGGAGTTAGCGTGTTCTCCTCATGCACGTGTGGAGTTGGCATGTTCTCCTTATGCACGTGTGGAGTTAGCATGTTCTCCTCCAGCGCGTTCTCCTCATGCACGTGTGGAGTTAGCATGTTCTCCTCCAGCGCATTCTCCTCATGCACGTGTGCAGTTAGCGTGTTCTCCTCCAACGTGTTCTCCTCATGCACGTGTGGAGTTAGCATGTTCTCCTCCAGCGCGTTCTCCTCATGCATGTGTGGAGTTAGCGTGTTCTCCTCATGCACGTGTGGAGTTGGCATGTTCTCCTTATGCACGTGTAGAGTTAGCATGTTCTCCTCCAACGTGTTATCCTCATGCACGTGTGGAGTTAGCATGTTCTCCTCCAGCGCGTTCTCCTCATGCACGTGTGCAGTTAGCGTGTTCTCCTCCAGCGTGTTCTCCTCATGCACGTGTGGAGTTAGCGTGTTCTCCTCATGCACGTGTGGAGTTGGCATGTTCTCCTCATGCACGTGTGGAGTTAGCATGTTCTCCTCCAGCGTGTTCTCCTCATGCACGTGTGGAGTTAGCATGTTCTCCTCATGCACGTGTGGAGTTAGCATGTTCTCCTCATACACGTGTGGAGTTAGCATGTTCTCCTCCAGCATGTTCTCCTTATGCACGTGTGGAGTTAGCATGTTCTCCTCATGCATGTGTGGAGTTGGCATGTTCTCCTCATGCACGTGTGGAGTTAGCGTGTTCTCCTCCAGCGCGTTCTCCTCATGCACGTGTGGAGTTAGCATGTTCTCCTCCAGCGCGTTCTCCTCATGCACGTGTGGAGTTAGCGTGTTCTCCTCATGCACGTGTGGAGTTAGCATGTTCTCCTCATACACGTGTGGAGTTAGCATGTTCTCCTTCAGCGTGTTCTCCTCATGCACGTGTGGAGTTAGCATGTTCTCCTCATGCATGTGTGGAGTTGGCATGTTCTCCTCATGCACGTGTGGAGTTAGCGTGTTCTCCTCCAGCGCATTCTCCTCATGCACGTGTGGAGTTAGCGTGTTCTCCAGCGCATTCTCCTCATGCACGTGTGGAGTTAGCGTGTTCTCCTCCAGCGCGTTCTCCTCATGCACGTGTGGAGTTAGCGTGTTCTCCTCCAGCACGTTCTCCTCATGCACGTGTGCAGTTAGCGTGTTCTCCTCCAGCGCGTTCTCCTCATGCACGTGTGCAGTTAGAGTGTTCTCCTCCAGCACGTTCTCCTCATGCACGTGTGGAGTTAGCGTGTTCTCCTCATGCACGTGTGCAGTTAGCGCGTTCTCCTCATGCACGTGTGCAGTTAGCGTGTTCTCCTCCAGCACGTTCTCCTCATGCACGTGTGGAGTTAGCATGTTCTCCTCATGCACGTGTGCATTTAGCGTGTTCTCCTCATGCACGTGTGGAGTTAGCATGTTCTCCTCCAGCGCGTTCTCCTCATGCACGTGTGGAGTTGGCATGTTCTCCTCATGCACGTGTGGAGTTAGCGTGTTCTCCTCTAGCATGTGTGGAGTTAGCGTGTTATCCTCTAGCATGTGTGGAGTTAGCATGTTCTCCTCCAGCGCGTTATCCTCATGCACGTGTGGAGTTGGCATGTTCTCCTCCAGCGCGTTCTCCTCATGCACGTGTGGAGTTAGCATGTTCTCCTCCAGCGTGTTTTCCTCATGCACGTGTGGAGTTGGCATGTTCTCCTCCAGCGCGTTCTCCTCATGCACGTGTGGAGTTGGCATGTTCTCCTCCAGCGTGTTCTCCTCATGCACGTGTGGAGTTAGCATGTTCTCCTTATGCACGTGTGGAGTTAGCGTGTTCTCCTCTAGCATGTGTGGAGTTAGCGTGTTATCCTCTGGCATGTGTGGAGTTAGCATGTTCTCCTCCAGTGCGTTCTCCTCGTGCACGTGTGGAGTTGGCATGTTCTCCTCCAGCGTGTTCTCCTCATGCATGTGTGAAGTTGGCATGTTCTCCTCTAGCATGTGTGGAGTTAGCGTGTTCTCCTCATGCACGTGTGGAGTTGGCATGTTCTCCTCTAGCATGTGTGGAGTTAGCGTGTTCTCCTCCAGAGTGTTCTCCTCATGCACGTGTGGAGTTAGCGTGTTCTCCTCTAGCATGTGTGGAGTTAGCATGTTCTCCTTCAGCATGTGTGGAGTTAGCGTGTTCTCCTTCAGCATGTATGGAGTTAGCGTGTTCTCCTCCAGAGTGTTCTCCTCATGCACGTGTGGAGTTAGCGTGTTCTCCTCTAGCATGTGTGGAGTTAGCATGTTCTCCTTCAGCATGTGTGGAGTTAGCGTGTTCTCCTCTAGCATGTGTGGAGTTAGCATGTTCTCCTTCAGCATGTGTGGAGTTAGCGTGTTCTCCTCTAGCATGTGTGGAGTTAGCGTGTGCTCCTTCAGCATGTATGGAGTTAGCGTGTTCTCCTCCAGAGTGTTCTCCTCATGCACGTGTGGAGTTAGCGTGTTCTCCTCTAGCATGTGTTGAGTTAGCGTGTTCTCCTCTAGCATGTGTGGAGTTAGCATGTTCTCCTTCAGCATGTGTGGAGTGAGCAAAAACATGCATGTCAGGTTAACTGGAGACTAAAGCCTAACTTTTACGTCTCCATCTGCGTCGGGATGGATGCACACAGAGCCATTATCCATCCTTGCGAGGTCTCTCCAGCAGGCTCACCAGGACGGACGGAGTCGAGCTCTCTTTTCTAAACATCCCTCTGTCGACATGGAGAATGCAAGCTTGTGATTGGTCAGGACGCCGCTGTCATCTACAGCACCGCCATTGAGCCCTCAAAAACATAAAGAGAGCCGAGGATATCTAGCGGCAGACATGGAGCAGCTTCAAGAATACCTCGCTGAAAACAACAAATATTAACGTCTGATTCCCCGTGACTGGAGGAGTTAAATGATGTGCAGCAAGCTTTTATTTGTGGACGGAAATGTGGGTTTAGAGGTGGTGAGCGCATGAAGAGGTGGAGGAGAATGAGGGACAAAGTCTCTAAAATACAAAAAAAAAAAAAACATTAACACAATAGTAAACACACTACCTTGGACCGGATACATGACAGGATACCACAGAACAGCACTACGCCCTCTGGTGTCCTGGCAGGGAATTGCTTTGCAACACTCCCCAGGAGACGGAGACATATGAGGGCAAAATGTCTCCGTCCGTGCGTGTCTGTCCCTGGTGGAGCTGATGGAGACGTATAAATTAGGCTTAAGCTGGCTCTGTGTGTCCCAGTGAGGGACAAGAGATCTGTCCAGTGTCGTCTTTTTCCTGAAGAAAGCTGAAGATAAACACCAGCTCCCTGAGAAAAATGGCAGGTCTCCATGTCAAGCTTTCCTTAATTCTCGATATTAATCATTTGTTATTTAAAGAACATTTCCACCTGTTAAATTTGGCTTAAATCTGTATGTTCAGGGACTTTTCATTCATTCCTCCCTGAAGCTTGTTTTTGCTTCAACATTTGTCTGATTCAGGACGAGGAGACGACCTCCACGCTTGCTCAGATTGCTGGACAGTTCACAGACAAAGAAGCAATTCCTGGAGATGAAAGCAGCAGCACTGGAGCCGACCTGCTGGCCATGATGGATGACCTCTGACTGAATACCATGATTACAGCATCAGACTGACTGTCTGACGTCAACAAAATAAGGACAATATTTATAACTTCCTATGATGTTCAAGCTCACGTTTCTCTATACAGCACTGGTACATCCCCAAGATGCTGTAGCAAAGGCACAAGCAATAAAACAGCTATCATAACAAAACATTTCATTAGGATACATGCAACAAACAAAATCAGCTAAGATAGAAGCCTATCTTACAGAAATGACCACAATGTCTGAGTCTGACATAAAGGCCAGATCAAAATGCTCCAAGCTGGGACCGGTCCTTATACGAAGGGAAGGCTGCTCTATAATCTAGTCCGTGGAATCAGAAACGTCCACTTTGTGTCTGTTTACCTGAAAATTCCCAAGAGTTCAGCTCTAAATGTCTGGTAAATTAATACATAAAGGTATTGTTGTCTGGTTTTAACATGATTTACAATGATGCTCTGTCGTTGGGTGGCAATGGCAGAGGAGGTAAGTGGCTGCCTTGTAACAGGAGGGTTGCAGGTTTGAGGCCTGCTCATTGTGTAGCAGTCATCTGCTTGAGCAAGGCACACTCCCTGGCCTGTGAAGCCAGGTGAGGCTACCCCATTGGTTCTGGCTCACCCTGGCTACAGTCGCACACGATCAGAAGTAAAGTCGTCTACGCTGGTAAAAACAAATAAAGTTATCATATTCAAAAGCAGTCGTGTTCACGTTGTTTTTTTAACGTTGGCTTTCCTGATGACTGAACATGTTTAACATATTTTATTATGAATGAAAACTCGTCTTAGAGTTTTCAGAACCGGATCCGGAAGTTACGTCACTAAATGGAATGCGTACGTAAGCGGAAGCCAGCGCGGAGCGGCAGCAGTTCGGTGAGTTCAGACAGTTGTTGTTTGGTGAAAGTTTGAATCTCCCCGGATGTGTCGAGTTTATTTTAACGGGACCCTCGTTATCAGCACCGCTGTCGTTAGAATGCTGACCGCGGCGGGTAAAAACTGCTTTAGCTAAACTTTAGCTTCACACACTGAGCACGCGCCAACCCCAAAACTTAAGTCTCGCGAGATTCCTGTTAAAGACACGAGATCTGGTAGGATCCAAATCTGGTCCCGTCTCGAGGTTCAAGTTTGAAGCTTATGCTCTTTTTAGCGGAAAAGCCGGAAAAAGATCCGGTTGTTAGTGAAAGTGTTAGCCTCAGGTGCTAGCAGGTGCTACAGCTCGGTTCTGGTTCCGTGAGACCACCAGAGGGACAGGTCCTGGTTCAGGTCTCTGATAGAACAGGATCAGCTAACAGGACTGAACCCGGCCAGAGAAAGTCCTTCATAATCATACGGGTCAAAGGCGAGGTCTGGCTCGGTTCTGTTGGGATGAACGGACCCGTTTCAGTCAACTTCCTTCTGGTTTCAGGTCAGGAGAACCGGGTCTGAGCAGCCCGGGTTTCTGGCACCAGAACCTGTGGAGAGGACATGGAGTCTGAAGCAGCTGGAGCTCCAGCCTCGGGTGAAGTGGTTAACTCGATTCGTGAGCGGACCATCTCCGAGAACAGCTTGGTGGTTCTGCTGCAGGGTCTCCAGGGCCGGGTGACCACGGTGGACCTGAGGGACGAGTCCACGGCCCAGGGACGTGTGCTCAGTGTGGATGCCTTCATGAACGTCCGTCTGAAGGACGTGCTGTACCAGGACCGGCGGGGACGGCGCCGCCAGCTGCAGGACCTGTTCATCACCGGCAGGAACGTGCGTTACGTGCACATCCCAGATGACGTGGACATGATGAAGACCATCCAGAACCAGCTGGACAAGATCCACAGAGTCCGGAGCTTCGGCAGCGAAGGCAGGAAGGAGTTCTCCAAGAAGTCGAACTGATCGGACCGGTACCGCTTCGGCACAGGAGTGGGCGATCTTTGTCGGTACATCGTGACGCTCGCGCGGTAACGGTAAACACCCGATGTCATCGCTCCTCGGTCAAAAGGAGGACTGTTGCATGGCAACAAGACTGACGTCTGAGTAACGTTCAAAACTAAAAACACAAAACTTCAGAAGTAATTCATGTTCGGATTCTTTTTCCAGACGAAGCAACGCTAAAATGATCCCGAAGGAAGATATTTTAGTAAAAAACAAACATTTTTCATGTTATTCGCTCAGAAAGGTCCTGAGCTGAGCTCCGATCAGCTGATGGGCGGTTCTGACCCACTGCGGTACACGAGAGACTCTTCTGTCTCTGGTACCAGCAGCCTGTCTGAGGCCCAGTCTGACCAGAACTTTAGTCGTGGTCCTGGTTCTGGGTTGATGCAGATGGGACTTCCAGCGCCGGGTCGGGATGCTTGTTCTGAGCTCCCTGCAGTTCCAGGAGCCGCGGGTCTCCAGCCCGTCTCTGATTGGTGGAGGGCCAGACCATGTTTGGGAGTAGCTGCGTTCCTCTGGAACACGAAGGCTGCTGGGAATTTTTATTCCAGCAGGAGGATGGATACGAACCAGGAAAACCACTTGGATCCGATTCAGCCTGAGTCAGAACCTGACCACATCATTACCACAGGTCCAGGTCTAGAGAGACCAGAACCTGCAGCGTAACAGAGTCAGCTGTGAGATGGAGACACCCCCCCCCCCCCCCCCCCCCCCAGACATTCCTGCTCATCTCGGCTGCAGCCGCCCAGTTGTTTCCTGCTCCGCCCACCAGAACTCTCCAGAACCCTGCGGGCTGAGCAGTGGACCTGGGTCAGAGCCAGATGGTCCTTTCTGGAGTTCCCAGGCAGGATTCGGTTCTGTGGAGCCACTGGAGGGATGAGTGGCCAGAGACGAGGAGCGCCGATTAAACCTTCATCAGAACCGAGGTGAGTCAGGAGAAAGGTTCTGGTCCAAAGAGCCTTTTGTGAGCTTCAGCAGCATGATAACAGCACGTACCTTGGTGGTTCTGCTGGATCAAAACTCCATTCTGCAGAACTCAGGAGGAATGTGGATCCTCTTAGGTTCAGAACCAGTTTGGGTCTAAATCTGGTCAGAATCAGAACTGGGACTAAACACCACTCTGTTGGTTCTGTTGCTGCCCTGACCCAACAGATCCGGTTGTACTGGCTGTGCAGCACCAGGCTAAAGTTCAGAGGTGCTGCTGTGGTCCCCAGACTCTGGAGCTCTCCCCCCGAGCCTGAGACCAGTGGACTCAGTGGTCTCCTTTAAACTCAGCTGTTGGGGTTTGGTGGGACCTCCCTCTCCTGGTTCTGCTCTTGCTCCACCTTTCCCAGATCCCCCGGTGTCCCTCTCCTTTCATTTTCTCTCCCTTTACTTACATTTTATATCGATTTTTTTTTTCTTATTTTAAACTTTTTTAAAATCTTTTTATCTTTAATTTTTTTGTTTTTGTGAAGCGCCGTATTTTTATCTGGGGTTGCCATAGAAACGGTCCTTTTCTTTCTGGATTGCTCCTCTTCAGCCAACGAGGCCAAAGTCAGATTCTGATGATCACAGAGAAATCAATCAGACTAGAGCAAATGATCACAGAGCAATCAGAGTAGGGCAAGCCACAGATATATTTATTTAGAGCTCTGTTGGCCGCTCAGGTGCAGGAAATGCGGTCGCCATCTTAGATGGGTGGAGCTTGTGGCAGACACGAACCATAGCAGCAGCAGTGACCGCGTGCTTGAGCTCTGTGGGATTATTCCCGCTCTAATCGGCAGACTCTGGAGACCAGAGCTCGGGATTACTCTTAACGAGTAAGTTTGAGCCTGTTTGTTGTTTGTATTTAGTAACTCTAACTTTGCTGTTGTGTGTTTGTGTGCACCAGCAGCACCTCCTAGCCCGCTAACGCTAACTGCTGACAGTGAAGCTAAATGAGACGTTATTCATCATTTATTCCTAAACACCCACTTGTATTACAGCTGAAACAAGAACGCTGCTGTAGAACCCAAACAGAACTTCCTGTAGCAGATACATCCCAGTTCTCTGGCTGGACAGTTAGCTAACATGCTAACAAGCTGAAGAGTCGTTTTCTGGTTCCACCCTTGGGAGAGTTTTGGTTGATTATCATCAGAAATGCAGTTTTAGGTTAAAGACAGATTGTAAGAATATTTAAGGCATAAGTAAACCGAAGAGCAGGAACAACACGAGAAACTAGCGTTGACCTCTTGTACAACATGTAGACGCTAATCTGCTAATCTCATGTTGTGTTTTGTAGCTTTCCACAAAAGGTGTGAGGCTTCCTGCAGCTGGTCAGAGCTGGGCTGTCAGAGATCCTGCTTCTCCTTCAGAGAGTAAACCATCAGCATCCGTACACGCACACATCCTGCTATCGGTCACGAGGCACAGTGCAATACTTTCCCCACACACCTCGTCCTGAACTCATTTCTCACCCACTCATGTATTTCAGTCACCGCAGTGAGGATCATACCTGGGTGTCCCAGAGTTTTCACCGCAGCAGGGGCCACTGATGTCAGCTGAGAGCCACAGGTGTGTACTATAACCACTAATATAAACATGATGTGCTTGTTTCAACCAGAGACCCTAACCTCAGCTGATGATGTGAGTATTTAACCATCATGTCATGACCCCCCCCACACACACACACACACACACACACACCTGTCTCCTGTAAGCTGATACTGCAGCGCCCACTATTGTAATTTGATGACAGCCGACAAAAATGTCCGGCGTTGTTTACAGTACCCACAGGATGTCGTGTTCACTTCTTTTCTACATAATGCACCTTTAATGATAAATAACCCGCACTTATACAGCGCCTCTCAGAGTCAGGACTCCAGAGCGCTTTACACTACAGTGTATCATTCACCCATTCACACACACACATTCACACACTGGTGGGGATGAGCTACCATGTAGCCACAGCTGCCCTGGGGCGCACTGACGGAGGCGAGGCTGCCGAGCACAGGCGCCACCGGTCCCTCCGACCACCACCAGCAGGCAACGTGCGTTAAGTGTCTTGCCCAAGGACACAACAGCAGACTTCTCTGTCCGGAGCCGGGATCGAACCTGCAACCTTCCGATTACTGGACAACCCGCTCCACCTGCTGAGCTGCTGCTGCCCCAATTAAATGTGTTTCTATTGTTTCACAGGAGGCTGTGGCTGGTGAGCCCGGCCTAAGAGGACCAGACTAAACACAGAGGTGCAGCACTGATGCTGACGCCACGGCCGTCAGACGTGATGTTTGTTACGTTGGTGGTTCTGGAGAGATGATCGCACCTCTAACTGCAGAAGAGGAGCTCCAGATAAAAGTTCTGCATCAGTCCTCTTTCAGGGGTTTCAGCTCACGGAACGCTTCAGTTAGGGTTAAAAACAGATGAATGAAAACAAAACAACTAAAACGAGCTCTCTCTCTCCCCGCGTCCTGTCCTGCTGTAAAGCAGCCAGAGCTGATGTCTGGGTACCAAGAACAGTCCGACTCTCAGGTAGAGAGTAGTCCACCTGGTATTAGAGATGCTTTTGGTGGTTTGTAATCCCAACGGGGATGGAAGAGATGGGGAGAGTTCACGAGAAGGAAAGGATGAAGAAGAAGCTTCTAGGTCTGCAGAAAGGGACACACACACACCGAACCAGAACATCACCAGCTGTTCTTGTCATCCAGACGTTGTTCTAGTGGTTCTCTCACCCTCTCTCTGAATTATATTGACACTATATGTATGTGGCTGCTTCTCAAAGCACGTCTTCATAAACTCGATTATTCATCACTCAGCACCCCGTTTGGTCACTGGTGCCCCTTTCACTACTCATCATGTGATCTGTACTCACTCGTTAACTGGCCTTCGCTCCATTCCTGCAGGATGTTACACTGGTTGTGGTTAGGGTTACCCTAACCCGTCATATCTTCTCTCATCATCATCACTTCCAACAACCAGCACCGTTTACGTTCCAGTAACCTCATCTCTACGGTTACTCCCAAAGCTGGCACCTCCTTTGGCCGCTCCTCATTCCAGTTTGCTGCTTCCAACGACTGGAATGAGCTGCAGAACCACTGAAGCTCCCTACCTACATTCCATTATCTACCCTCAATAATTCGTGGTGATCAATAGTTTGTGATCAGTGTTCTTCTGAGTACTAAAGACTGTTTCAGTCCGTTCTGACTGCTCGTACGTGTTCTACATGAGAACGTTGTCTTCATGTCTGTTAATCTGGTTCATCTCACCTGTTCTTTGGTGTAAAGCTAACCACGCCTCTGGGCCAGACCCTCGTGGGAAAGGAGTCCTCTCATCTGGATAAATAAAGACATAAATATGAACCATAGAACATTTGTTTCAGCTGTCTATGAGAATGATTTAGTATAAATTTATTAACATGGCTGATCCAAGATGGTGGCGCCACCGCTCGTCAGCGTTCATCGGCAGCAGCGGTCACGTGGGCTTTATCGATGTGTGAGGCGACCAATCGGAGCGGTGTGAGCTGAGCCAGAAGGAGAAGCTCTACGTTCCTACCCTCACCTATGGTCATGAGCTTTGGGAAGGGACAGAGAACGAGATCGCGGCGACAGGGTGAGAACCTCGATCACCCAGGAGGGGCTCAGAGTAGACCCGCTGCTCCTCCACGTCGAGAGGAGCCAGTTGAGGTGGCTCAGACATCTGGTCAGGATGCCTCCTGTTTAGGAAACATCAGGCCTGATGTTCTGCAGCTCCATTAGGACCTCATGTTCTGTCAGAACCAGACTTTTATTCTTACAGTTAAATCGATTACCTGACATGTTTAGTAGCTCTAGCTGTCATCAGAGATCGCCGGTGTTGGTGACATCACTTCCTCTGACACAGGACGGCGTATCCTTGCTGATGACACTGTCCCATCGCCTCTGTTCATGGTTCTGTGTCTATGACCCGGGTACTGACCCAGTCCATGATGTGGCTATTCCTCTAACCCTTTCTGCTGATGTCCTGTTGTCTGCATGGTATCGATGTGACTCGCCGTCATTTAAGCCCCATTCCCATCTGTACCGGGTCGGCCCGGGCCGGGTAGCCCCAGTCGGGCCCGGTTGTTTCCACACATCCTTGTCTTAAGCCCATGTGGGCTGATTCTACCCACCAATCAGAGGCTTGCTCTAATGGAAGGTGTGAATGGGCTGACTCTACCCACCAATCAGAGGCTTGCTCTAATGGAAGGTGTGAATTTCTTGTCAGCAGTGGGCGTGTTGGCCCTGGTCGGCCTGAAGCAGTACCCCTCGGGAAGAGGGCTGAGAATGAGCCTTGGTTGGCCCGGGAAAATTCCAGGCCACCCAGATATGTAAACAACCTACGCTACCCGGCCCGGGCCGACCCGGTACAGGTGGGAATGGGGCTTTTGCTGCTGATATCTGGGTATATCTGCTCCGATATTTTCTGGTGTGTCTGTGATCTATGGAAGGGTTATTACTGGTTGTTATGGTCCATGTTGGTATCTGCAGGTTAGTCGGTCCTCTTGTTTATGGTCTCGTTCTTCTGTTAGCTCGGTGGTATAACGTTCTGATAACTGATACTTCATGTGTGATGGGATGTTCTGATGTCCATAAGTGTTGGTCCTTGTGTTGGTTTCCTGTACGTGTTTATTTTTGTCTTTTTCTTCTTCATGTGTAAACTTTGTTGTTGTTGACGTCGATGCTGCTCAGGTGTTTTGTTGGTGTCTCCGTTTGTCCTTGTGAAGGACGTCTAACATGTCATCTACGTAGCGTCTCCTGCTGGAGTGGTCTGGGTTGGGAACGGGATGGAACATCATGTGAGGTCTGTGCTGCCTAGTAGTGGGCTGATGATCCTGCTCATCTCTTTTCCCTGTTATGTGTCGGTGTTCCCATGGTAAATGGCCTATATTTGATATAGGGCCTTCTAGAGTCCTGGCACCCCCCAAGGCACTTTACAACACAGTCATTCACATGCTGGTGGTGAAGAGCTACATCGTAGCCACAGCTGCCCTGGGCTGCACCGACAGAAGCGGGGCTGTTGTAGACCAGTCCCTCCGACCACCACCAGCAGGCGGGGGTTAAGGTGATTGCTGTTGGGGTTTAAATCATTTTTAAGGTTTTTCTGGATGCCCTCTGTTGGGTCTTTTAACGTTTTTATGTTTGTCTTCTAGCAGCTGTTCCATCTGTTTGTGTTTGTCCATTACTATGTTTATGTATTTAGCAGACGCTTTTGTCCAAAGTGACTTACAAGTGATAATCGGCATGTTGCCCTTGAGGCTAACAACAACAATAACAACAACATTGACATCAGTCATGGAGAGGAGGGAACAAGGAGTGGACGGTAGAGAGGGGGGACGGGTGCGGGGAGGGTGCTAGTTTAGAAGATGCTCTCTGAAGAGCAGGGTCTTCAGGAGTTTCTGGAAAATTGAAAAGGAAGCTCCTGTTCTGGTAGTGCTTGGAAGGTCATTCCACATTTGTGGAACGATGCATGAGAAGAGTCTGGATTGTCCTGAGCGTGGTGTAGGCACTGCTAGCCGACCATCCTGTGATGACCGGAGCGGCCGGGCCGAGACGTAAGCCTTTGCAAGAGGATTCAGGTAGATGGGAGCCGTACCGTCTCGGACTTTGTATGCTAGTGTTAGCAGTTTGAATGTGATGCGTGCTGCTAGCGGTAGCCAGTGGAGCTCAATGAACAGAGGGGTGACGTGTGCTCTTTTAGGCTGATTGAAGACCAGACGCGCCGCTGCGTTCTGGACCATTTGAAGAGGTCTCACAGTCCAGCCTGGAAGACCAGTTAGAAGGACGTTGCAGTAATGGAGGCGGGAGATGACAGTAGCTTGCACCAGGAGCTGGGTGGCATGTTGTGTTAGGTATGGTCTGATCTTTCGTATGTTATACAGCGCAAAGCGACATGAACGAGCAACAGAGGCAACATGATCTTTAAAGGCCAGGTGTTCATCAATCACAACACCCAGATTTCCAACTGCCTTTGAAGGAGCCAGAGATAGGAAGTCATTCTGGATTGAGATATTGTGCTGTATGGATGGTTTTGCTGGGATGACAAGTAGTTCAGTTTTAGAGAGGTTGAGTTGGAGATGGTGGGATTTCATCCATTTTGATATGTCAGAGAGACAGTCTGATATTCGTGCAGAGACAGTGTGGTCGTCCGGTGGAAATGACAGATAGAGCTGGGTGTCGTCTGCATAGCAGTGGTAGGAGAAGCCATGTGATCGAATGATCTCACCCAGTGAGGTGGTGTATATGGCAAAGAGAAGAGGTCCTAGTACAATAATAATAATAATAATACATTTTATTTAAAAGCGCCTTTCAGGTCACTTTACACAAAACACGTAATAAAATACAATAAAACAATAATAAAACCCAAAGAAGAAAAAAACTGAGAGAAACAGTTCAATAAAATCAGAGGTTGTAGGCAGATTTAAACGTGTGTGTTTTGAGTTTTGTTTTGAAAGGGTAAAACTGTCGATGTTCCTGATGTCTGGGGGAAGTGAGTTCCAGAGACGAGGAGCAGAGCGGCTGAAAGCTCTGCTCCTCATGGTAGCGAGATGGGCAGAAGGA